TAACAATACTGCAGATGAGTTTGCCAAAAGCTCTAACCAACTAATTACACTCCAATTCATATATAACAATACTTACAATAATTATATTACCTTTAATATAAAGAATTTGTGATTAAGCAACCAATATGTAAATCTATTAAAAATATATACAATGCTCAATCATTGCTATGTGGTCTTTACAATACTATATAGAACATATTATACTATTATCTTCACAAATTAGCTAGAATACAACATGGCTTTACTTAAATAACAACTATAAGAAATCATCACTATATACTAGTTTTCAACTATGTTGGAAAAAACTTTTAAAATCAAACTGCTACTTGGCATACTTCTAACTTTATTATACTTATATTTATTATATCTCAAAACATTTCCACAGTTAAATTGTATAACATGCAACATACAAGAAAAACACTTTCATTGGTTTATATGCCCAAATATATTTATGCTTAGTACTCCTAGGTTTGGTTCAGGTCCGGTCCAGTTCAGGTTCAGTCTGGGATCGAATCAGACTCAAACTTTAAATTTTAGAAATTTTGAACTTTGAACCAGACTCAAACTTAATTATAAGTTCAGTCTGGGTCTGGTCTGAAGTTTGCAAACTAGTTTGAGTCTGATTATATTTATATACTATTTGCCCTCCCAAAACTAATCTTGTCAAAACTGATAACCTGGAATAAATGATTAAAATTTGATTAACCATACTGGTTCTATAAATAATATCTGATAATTATATCATTTCTGATATCTGATAACTTATTTATTTAAGTTTCTAATATAGTCATATAAGATTCAGCCTACAGTTTTTAGGTAAAACTTTTTGTACAAATGGCAAATGATAAAACCTAAACTTGGCAAAAATCGAAAATGGTGAAACTCTAGTGAAAGGTAAAACCTCTGATGAAACTGGCAAAACCTGGCAAAACCTTAGAGACAATTAAAACTTAGCAAAGATCAAATCCTCTAAGACTTTGAAAAAGACTATGCTGTGTTGATAAATAAAAATATTTTGTGTAGCTATTAAGTACAGCACGTAGCTTATATAAAAAAATATATAAAAAAAGCAATAAATGAGATGATAGCTTTTTTTGTATATTCAAGTACTATTAAAAGAATATTAGACTTCAAACTTTTGATGAAAATCATTTGTGTATGGCTTACTGTTGATAGATAAAACTATTTTTAGAAAAGCAACTGAAAAAAAATTTTGAAGAAACAGTGAAACTCTGGCAAAAAAGCAAAATCCTGTTGAAACTATTGGTAAAGATGAAACCTCCTAAAGAAGGTCAAATATAAAATCTTCTAAGACATCAAAATAACTGAGCCATGTTAGTGAATCAAAATATTTTGTTTGTATTTAAATAATATTAAAGGAAAATTAGTCTTTAGGCTTTTGAACTTGTAATTAAATCAACTCAGCAATATAAAAAAAATTTATTTAAATATTTAAATAAATTTTATTATTATATTGTTAAAATTTTTTCTCTTTAATACTTCCTTTAAGTGCTATATATGTGTAAGTACAGTCAGACCTCTCTAAGTACACACTCTTGGAAACACAATTTAACAGTGTTGATTCAGAGAATGCAGTCAGACCTCTTTAAATGTATACTCTTGGGACTATAATTTAACAACATGTATTTAGAGAATAATAAGAAAAAGTGTACTTATAGTGGTCAAGTATATATTTGTGCAAGAATCTAAGCATATATTTAGAGAGTGTATGTACTTAGAGAGGGAGGACTTAGAAAAATCAGGCTGTAGTTCGTTAATATTATTATTACTAACAATTATTTCTGATTCTCTAATTTATCTAACACTAAGTTTTAGAGCTAAATTTAAGAAAATAATTGCTATATAATTGATCTATAATAATAGATCAAATGTAAAATTTAGATTATTGATTAAGAAGTATCATATATGATACTTGATATTTCAAATCTGATAACTACAGTAATATAGAATATTATCTTAAAAATTGTGTACTTAACTCATGTCTGGTATCTTATAAAATGCTCACTCATATAATTTATGCTATATCCAAAGCTAAATTGCTAAACACAATAATAGCTTTTCTAATTTTGGGCATAACACTAGCTAAATATTAATTTAAGTTTGAAACTTATATGATAAGCTAAATTACATAAAACTTTACCAAACCCGATTGCAAACTTCGGACTAAAAAGTTTAAGTCTGAATTGTAATACTATTTAGACTCAAACTAGTTTGCAAACTTTAGATCAGACCTGGACCAAACTCAGACTTGACTAAAAAGTTCAAGTACAAAGTTTGAGTCTAGTCTAAAAATTGAACCAAACTCAAACTTGATTAAAGTTTTGTTCAGATCTGGTCTGTAGAAGCACTATCTATACTAAGCTCTACTATTATTAATATAATACAACAATTCTTTTATTCTAACAAACTTGGTATAACAATTGCATAGCTTCAACTGTGGTCTTTCTAACTACTAACACAAAGACAATACTTGCTCATCTCTTGGCAAAGCTATTAAAAAATATCTATGTGAATATTCTCATAGATTAACTATAGCACTCTATTAACAATATTTTAAATTATCAAATCTAAATAATTTTTAACTACTTTAGTAGGTTTAGATTGCAGATAAATTAAATAGAACTAGATAGTAACTATTTATAATATCTCTATAGTCTTAGTTTTATTCTTGTAAAAAAATTTGTAACAATTGGCCACAGCTAGAAAGTCTTACTGCAGATTCTTAATACAAATTATTAAATAAAAATAAAAACAAAACCTTACTTTAAAAAAAAAAAGAAAAATTCTAAACTTATTGACTTATTATAACCAACAACTCTTATAATTTGGAATGTGATTTCTATACAAAATCATAAGTATACTGAATCTGTTAATCATATCTTACAAGATATTCATGATAGTCTATATCTATTTAGAGAAATCACAATAGTATTTAATAGTAATTTCTGTCAATATTATCTATTATAATTAAAGCCATTTAAGAACAAATATATTTTCTTGTCTTTAAAGATCATGACTATAGTAATATATAAAATATATATATTAAAAAATATATATATTTTGAATTAAAATCGATTAAAAATTAGCAATTTGTATAATAGCTTTTAAAAGTAAATTTATAACTTAAATTCTTTTGCTATAGTTAATACAAAAATTAGATTAGCTAATTTTAGCTATATATTTTATATTTAGATTGGCAATAGTACAAATATATCTGAATAAACTATACTATTCTAAAAATATGATAATTGATCCTGATTTAAATTTTTTTATTAAATCTATTTATTATAATATCAATACTAAAAATATATATACTGACCAGTATTTAAAAAATAGAATAATATTTTCTTTTTGTAATATAGATATTAATGATATTAGTCTTGCTATTCTCAACATCCTCTTTGAAAAAAATACTTAAACTCAGACAGTATAATTACTAAAAAATCTAATATTAATACTAATCACTATCTTAATGAATTCTTAAAATTTTTAAACTTAATAGCTTATTGCCCTTAAAACTCAAACTTAAAATTGAATAATTTATTATACTTTTGTGAAATTTGGCTTCATGCCAAGGTCTTTGCAATGGTTCTTGATTAATTATAACAAGATTTAATAATCATATGATCAAAGTCCATATTCTGATTAAAGATTATACTAGCAACTCAATTTTTATTTTTCATATTTCTCATATTTCATTAACTTCAAAACTTCTGTTTAAACTTAAACAATACCAATTTTCTATTCAATTAGCTTTTATAATCACAATAAATAAATTACAAGACCAATCTATAAAACATATTGGCTTAGATCTTAGAACTTCTGTTTTAGTACTCCTAGGTCTGGTTTAGGTTCAGTCTGGTCCAGGTTCGGTCCGGGATCGAATCAGACTCAAACTTAAAATTTTACTAATTTGAAATTTTGAACCAAACTCAAACTCAATTATAAGTTCAGTTCGGGTTTGGTCTGAATTTTCAAACTAGTTTGAGTCTGATTTGAATTTTCAAACTACATACATATTACTTTAAATGGACTTAAAAAGTTGTTGATCTGAGAAATCAGAATACGTATTTTAAATACAATTGAGAAAATTATATTTATATTATGTATGTACGTACGTACAAGATTCTATTGTTACGTATTAAGTTTTACATTAATATTTATACTAACCTTTTTCAGTAATTAATTTAGATTACATCTAAAATTTAAAATATACAAATTATGCTTTACTACTATTGACAATCGATTTGAGTAGCATTATTTATTAGCAGGCATTCAAACTTAGTTCTGTAAACTGATCTAGTGATAGATGGACTCAGTTCAACAAAGATATTATACTTTAAAACTAGGCTAAATCTGAAAAAACTGCTTTTAGGTTTAAGACCAGACCGGCTAGGACTAGCCTGGACCAGTTAATTCTTTAAGATTTTGAACTATTAAAAGTGAACCGGGACTGGACTGGTAGGACTGTTAGGATCCCCATGGTTCAATCTACTCTGGTCTCTGACAAGACCAGTTTATTAGTATTTTAACTCCAAACTTGGTCCAATCTCGGTTCCAAAATAATTCTTAGTTGTATACAGATCTTCTCTAACTATAGTGTATTAAGAAAGTCTTTGGACAAATTCACATGGCAATAACTTCATAATGACTGTGCTATTTTACATGATCAATAGCTCATTAAAAAGCTGAAACGTTATAGATTTATTTATTAATAGTTAATTAATAAGGATACTAATCCTATTTATTATTTATGAGCTTGTAACGATTGTTAATTAACACTACTAAATTTGCTTATGGTTGTAAAATAAGAAAAATTTTTAAAAAATTCAAAATTATCTAATTTATATCATTCTTTCACTACTGTTTTTTAATATTCTGTTTAGTAATATTCGATACTTTTTTTTGTAGATTTTTAACTTGGGTTATTAAATAACAAACTGATTATTTCAAGGCTTTTTTTTTGAAAAACACTTCAGCTACTTGATCTGTACACTTGGAATTGCTGTCATATTAGAATAAACAATAGCATTCGAGTCTTCTTCAGGTATCCGTTAAATGTTTTTTAAAAATTTCAAATGCAAAATAGGCAATTTATTATTTTATAAAAGAAAAAAAGAATTATAAACCCTTCTAACTAAACTCTACTTCAAGTAAAATTTTTTGTTTCCTTTTAAAATTAGTCGTAGCAGCTATCTCGCTTTTATACCAATGTTCTACAGTATTCTCAAACAACTAGAAAACCAGATTATTAGTAAATATGTGCTAGTTCTAGTTTTTATTAAATTTTTTTTTGCTCACTTAATACAGCTTTGAATATTCTCTTTTATAAGCTTTAGTACTGTCTATACAGCTTTTGTTTTATAGCTAAGGTGGCCTAAATAGTTATACAGACCTGCTACATAGACCCGGACTACATTTATTAAAAAAATTAGCCAACCAGTACTATTGTTAATGTTAGAGTGTCCTTTTGCTACTTACCAAACCAGGATAATAAAAATTCTGAAGAGCAATTTGGGGAGGTGCTCTTATGCTTTTGATCAACTACACTTCTTTTTTTTTTAGTTTGGAAATGTTTGTGTATTGTAGACTTTGGGGGACTGGTTAGTTGCTGCATTTTTTGGGGGTTTCATTTTCTATATCTTATAGTTTTCGAATAGCTTTTTTATGTATATTTTGATGGACGTTCACCTTAGCTCGAATATTAAAAAAAAAGATAAATAGTAAAGTCCAAACTGCTACAAAAAAAAGATCATTTAGACAATCAATAAACATAACTTTGTTAGCAGGATTTTAGCTAAAAAAGAAAAAGCTATGTAGATCAAAATTTTGCACATAATATTTGTCTAAAACATACTGTAAATCAAAGCTGGACAACCGAATGTTTAATACTTCTGGTAAACAGAACACAAAACATTAAAATATTTATCAATTTTGTTAATAAGTTTAGTTTATGATATGATGAACTTTTAAACTGGGATTTAGTATAATTAGAGTTAACTGTACTTAACTCTAATTATTTGTTGTTTAGTAAAAACTTAAATCATATAACATTGGAGTGATCAATCATCTAATAGAATCAAACATATGTATAGTCTTATTTATTTTTGTGCATGTAGTACTCCGCAAAATCAAATCAACATTTGATTTTGAATCAAATATTTGATCAAATTTGATCAAATATTTGATTAAAAATTTGATTTTGCGAAGTACTATTCATGATTTCAGAATTGTGGGTTAACTAATGATCTCAAAAGTAAATGTTCGCAATTCATAATGGCTAGTTTGTGATTTTAATAGTAGTTGTGCTGATGATTTCAACAATGTGAATTCATAATTTATTCAGTGTAATACATATGTTCATAGTTTTAGTGATAGATGGATTTTTAATTTCAATAGCGGATGTGTTCACAGCTTTGATAGGTTTGTTAATAATTTTAAATATTAAATATATTTGTTATTTATTATGCAACAAATGTTTACTAAAATTTGATACTATATAGCATAACTTCTTAATCGTTAATATTTGTTATCATACTATACTTTTTTAATTCAATTTGGCCAGTGCAAAATAGCTAGAATGGACATTATTCGAATTTTGGCTCGAATTAAGTTTAGTTTGGCCAAATTTAGTAATTTTACTCTTAAGAGTTATTTCGAAATCTTCAGTATCAATTTTTATTTTTAATTACTAAAAAGAGGTAGCACTAAGTGTTACCTAACATACTAGTATCTTATAAATTTAATCTGTTATTTTTTATCAGTTATTTAGATCAGTCTGGAAAAGCTATCTATGCTGTATAAACATATGTCTACCCGGGTATTACCCAGGTATATTTATCTAGGTAGCAGAGTTTACAACCCAGATATCTGATTATTTGCAGATAACCAGGCTACTATTATTACTCCAGACTAGAAAAAAGTTTGAGTCTTAATTAAAGTTTGTATATTCAGACTCAAACTTATTTCAAACTTTGAACCAAACCCGGACCAAACTCAAACTTAACTAAAAGTTTGATTATAAAAGTTTAAGTCCAGTTTAAAAATCAAACCAGACTCAAACTTAACTAAAGTCCAGTTCAGGTCCGGTCTGTAGAAGCACTATTCTGTTTGCTTTTATATTCAACTTTATATAGCTCTATCTCATTGCACCTGCCACAATTTATAAAAATTTTTCTTCCAAACAATAATAACAATACTACTATAAATATATTCTATTTAGAAGTATTGTTAAACAATTAATGAGCAAACAATATTTTTATAGCCATATTTTTAACTTTTTATCTCTATTATATAAAAATATATCATACAGCTTTCCTTACAATAAAAATAACTCTTACAATTAAAACTTTTTAAATCTGAAGTACAAATCATTATCTCTAAACAGCTTCTTTTTGAAATTATTAAAAATCATTTGTTATTATATAATTACTTATTCCTGTAATTATCATATACATAATTTTATATTGAGTAAGAAAAAAATAACAATTAATAATCATATTCTTTATATATTAAAAAAAATAAAACTATAGGATAAGTCAACTCTTACCGATGATCACTTGTACCAACTTTTTACTGAAAGCAAGTAGAAGACTCAAGACCAGAAGTTAACAATAACTTGAAGTTTACTTAATACGAACTGTTGTCAACAAAGTCTTTAAACATGACACACCGAGAAGCAGCCATTTGGACGGTTTGCAAAGGGGTTAAGCCTTTTTCCATTCTTCTTAGGTAGAGTTTCTGAGAACAGTAAGTAGAAGATAAACCCAAGTCTGCTTGAAGACAAAAGGCTATGAAGAACTCTTGGAAGAATACTCTCTGTTTAGAAACTCGCAAAACTACAACTACCCTTTTGCCATTTTCTTTTTTCATAATTTTTGACAAAAAGTAGAGGATTTGGCTTACTTCCTTCAAAAGATCAGTATTGTTAACTACTTCTATTTTCAGAAAGTCACGAGTTTTGATATAACGATTAGGGAACAAAACAAATCACATATGAGAAGGAAGTTCTAACAGATATCTGGATCGAAGGGAGATAAATAGTGTATACATTGTTTGGATCAGGTATAGCTATCGGGTAGCCTCTATTTGGGATGTACCAAGGAAGTAGCTTCTAAAGATGGTAATTGAAAAGACCAATCCTGTTGACCTGGAATATGGAGGAAGCATGTTTGAAGTGAAGAACTATAAGTAGCAGAACCATTCGTAATCAGGGTCAGCTTAAAGTGAAGGAGACTTTAGAATTGACGATCACATGATCAAAGCTTTAAAATTGGATGTTCTAGAATTTGAATTAGATTTAATAGAGAGTTGTAAACTGGAGCGATAATATAGAGATATGCTTATTCTGAAGTCATATGCATATAATTTTTAGTCCTTAGCACAGGTTAAAGTGCATTTTAGTATGTAGTTTCTTTTCTTTTTGTCAGATAGCTCTATGTAAAGATTTTTACGACCATGTAGATAGTTTTTACCTGCCTAGCAAGTTTTATATCTGAAGATAGTTCCTGTAGATTTTGGAATAATATTTAGATTTCTTTATAATTTGGTCATTTTCTTTGTACATTTGTTTATATCTTACTCATTTTTTCGTTCTTCCCATACTCCTTTTTTTCTTTTTTACTTCTCTACGAGAAAGTGTTATCAGATTGGCAGCACTCTATTGTAGAGCAGTGATTCTGACAAGGTCAGTGAAGACTATCTGTTAATATCTGAGGCTCATATCCTTAGAAAGTTGAGGATCCCAGAAGAAAAAAAATTATTCACTTAGGCAGGTTGCTCCTGGATCATACTCTAGCATAGAATTTGGCTTTGTCAAGATTTTACTACGATAATGAGACAAATTGAGAGAATTTTTATTTGAACAGGTATATAGTAATGAATGGTTAGATGGTAGGTTTAGCCAACTAAATTCTCACTATAATTTACTGCTAATTTATAAAATAAAAGTAGGATCCTAAAGTAAAAAAAAAAAAAATAAAAAAAAAATAAAAAATAAAACTAATAAACTTTATGATTAAAACTTATACTACCCAACTGATCTGGATTCTAACCCTGTGATCACATTAATTTATAGATTCAATAACCCTGACAAAAAGAATATTAGCAATCTTATATTTTTTCGCTAATATGATATATCACTACTCATAAAATCATATAGAACATAAAATCAAAACAATAAATTATAATACTTTAGTTTAAACTTAGTATTAAACTAGAACTGAATGTGTTTAGAAAGGAAAGTTCCTAATCAAAATTTTTCTAGAACCTTTTAATTAGAATATCAGAAATAGCTTTATGAACAAAATTTTAAATTATAGGTAATTTTTAGAAAAGACTATATTTTGTTTCAATTTTATATTACAACTAATCTAGCATTCTAATCAGATGGCTACACAATATAATTATACTAAACCAAAAACAAAATACTTTATTTAAGATGAATAAATATGTTTGAATATAATATATATCTATAAATAAAGTTTTTAGTTAATACATTAAATTTTAGTTATAATTATAATATAAATCAAATTTATAAATTATTTTGTTAACAATAACTTTACAGATAAAACTTAGACAATAAAGCTAACTGATAAAGTGTTAGTATCAGTTAGAAATAAGTTTTGATGAATCTTACAAAAACCTTAATTATATTTATATATACTTTAAGCAATAAATATTAAAAACCATAATTAATATATTTTTATGAATAATGAACAATTTATACTAATATTTTACTACTATAAAATTTACTTTATATTTTGTGAATTTAATAATAGGTGCATTCATTATTTCAAAAGTAGATAAGCAATTTAATAATTTGCAACAATAAATAATTAATAATTTTAATAATAAGCAAAATAGAGAATTTAACAATGGGCCTTGATAATTTAAAATATATTAATAATTTAAACATCAAGTGAATTTAATCTTTCAACAGTAAATTATTTAATGCCTTTCATATTAACGAATTAATTTTAATAGTAAGTAAATTTGTAATTTAAACAATAAATTAATAAATATTTACAATTCACATAATATAAATTAAAGATTTTGATAACGAAATTTTGTAATACAAATTTGTACTTAACGACAACTTTAACTGTAAGTATTACTTTATAATACGGATTCGTAGCTTTCATAAAAAGGCTTTATAATTTAATAATAAATAAAGAAAATACAACATATAACAACTATAATCACAAACCAATCCAAACTAAATCTTAAAAACATATGCCATTTCTTTCTTAATTAAACTATATATTTCGTTTCACTTTATTCTTGATATTCCTATCTAAATTTAGTGATAGATTATAATATCCTTAATTCTTGATATATTTATTCATAAAATTTAATTTAAAGTTAATATGTAAATGAAGAAACATTATCGCAACAAAGTTTATATATAATTATATATTTTTGCTATAATTTTATATATAAAAAATACTGTATATAGGCTGATCACACAACTCTTCCTGATGA